TGAATCTTTCGAATGCAAACAACAGTAAGGGCTTATGCATATTAATCTTGAAAATAAACTAATATACAAGTAGGGATATTAATCAAGATCTGCATATAAGTCTTGATGACAATTAATCTCTCAACCATGAATTAAAAATATTTATAAATTTTAATTGTGGATCAATCATTGAGTAACTATCTTAATGATAGTGAAGTGATAACTAGATTTCATATGTAATTGAGCATACTCAGGAGAACCTTATTAAGATTAAATTCATGAATGAGAGCTACAATCACAAATGTACGTGTATCAAAATTTCAAAGATCATAGATGTAAAATGTGATTCACTATTACGAGAATATTAATGATGGAGAATCTCTAAATATGGGCCATAAACAATGACATATTCTCTAAAATCTCAACAACTACAAATCTCAAATAACAATCATAACAATGAAAATATTTATGATATTTAATCTTCAAAATAAGAATACAACAACAACATCAAGCCTTTATCCCACTACGTGGGGTCGGCTTTCTTCAAAATAAGAATGATAATATAAAAAGATCATGTATATTAATCATGCATGATTGATAAATCTCCAATAAAGAAGACTCAACAACAATTAGTCATCCAAACAATCTAAATGATGAATATCTCAAAATAGGAATCCCATGGTTGAAAATAGATGTATGCACAAAAACTAAATGTGATAGATCTTTCTAGAGATGTAGAGATAAATGAATTAGAAGTGTTGTGTGTGTGTGAGAGAGAGAGATCTTATATGTTTGTGTAAAGATGATTCTTAATTCTTGATTATAATCTTATAATCATTTTCAAAAATTGATATCTCTGTTTAAAATTGCGCAATAAGAGGCGTGCCTCTGCGCAATTCTGTCCAAAAGTGCCTCGAGGCGCATGCAATTTGGACACTGATTGAGGCGTACGCCTCACCGTGTGTGAGGCGCGCCTCAATTGCACAATTATGGGTGAGGCGTACGCCTCATCCAAATGGTCTTACCTACTTAAAATCAACCATTAAAAAAGCGGACGAGGCGTCCGCATTGAGTCGTGTATTCGCGTATAGGATTAGGGCTTCCTGTGAGAATTGAAAGGCGAACTAGAGGCGAAGCCGTGAGGGAAATAGACGAAGCTGTGAGGGAAGGAGACGAAGCTGTGAGTGTAGGAGACGAAGTCGGAAGGAGACGACGCAGGGAAAGAAACGAAGCCGAAGTTGTGAGTGCAGGAAACATTCAGGCATCGGTTAGGTCGGAAGAGCAGGTACGCGGTGTTGTGGCCTTGACTTTGACGTGCAGTAACGAAAGCTTGAATAACTCCTGATTCGGCTTATTCTTTCATTCGTCCGCTTCAGACTACAGCTCGAAGATCAATACATATCATGCCGTTACCGCTCAGTACATGCTCGGTACGAACCAGTACGGCTCGGTACTGAGCGGTACATGCGTACTGAACAATACATAGCTCGAAACTGAGCGGTATACATGCTCGGTACTAGCGATACATGTCTGGTACGCTCGGTATTGAGCATATACAATAAACAAAATTTCAAAATTACTCTTATAACAAAATTTCAATACATGCTCGGTACGCTCGGTATTGAGCATATACAAAAGGAGGAGCTGATGAACACAGAGCGTAGCATTGATGAGATTAAAATGACATGGATTGAGACTGGTGTAACCATTATGTCAGATGGATGGTCTGACATGAAGAGCATGAGCTTGATTAACATTCTTGTGAAGAATCCCTACGGCACGGTGTTTTTACGATCGGTTGAAGCTTCAGATGAGGTGAAAAATGCTGCATTCATTTTCAATTTACTTGATGGGTTTTGAGGAGATGGGGAGCAATTGGTTGTTCAGGTAGTGACTGATAATGCCGTGCATACAAAGCAGCTGGTCAGATGTTGATGGAGAAGAGGAACACCTATATGGACACCCTTCGCAGCACATTGTATCAATCTCATTTTGAAAGATCTTGGTAACTTACTTCAGCACAAGAGTGTTCTTTCTAGGGCGAAGAAGATTACAAAGTTCATCTACAATCACTCTTGGGTCTTAAGCTTGATGAGAAAGTTTTCAAAGAAAGAAATCATTCGCCCTGCAACCACTAGGTATGTTCTTAATTTTGTACATTGCAAATCATTCCTACTGTATGTTCTTAGTTCTTACATTTGTGCACTGTGATACTATAGGTTGTCACATCTTATTTGACACTACAGAGCTTGATGGAGGCGAGGCAACCTTTGGAAGCAATGTTTACATCAACTGAATGGCTTAACTCTTTGGGGAAGAAAAAGTGAGGGAAGGAAATAGAAAGATAATTCTGAATGAAAAATTTTGGGCACTGTGACCTATCCCATTTTGAGCACGAGCCCTAAGTGCAAATACTACGCAATAAGAAAAAGATATATAAAATGACATAATATAGTCAAGTGCAAACAAAGAGAAGAAATCGGCTATCTACACTCAGAATGAACTCCCTCGTATATATAATGCACAACAAGAGGTTAAAAGATAGGAGGTTGAGGAATAAGGGGTTGAAGATGATGAGGACCCGTTGGTGTGTGATGAGTTGTCATCTGATAATGAGTGGTTCATAGATGATAGAAACAGATTTGCCTATTATCAGACTTACAGCTAAGAGAGATCTAAATGTGGATGTCTGATGAGGCGAAGCAATCAATTGCAATGGACAATCTTCTAGTAAAAACACACACACATCCACTAGCTCTGCAAGCACAACAATCAAGTAAAGGTATTCCACAACTTCTTATATGCTATCGCAGTATATTTATATCAAGTGAGAACATTAACATGCTAATGATCTTTTCCTTGAAACAAGGAAGAGAAAAGTGAGTCTATTAAAGATGATGATGACATGACACATAGATACAATTAGAAAAGAAGATTCCCTTGAAGACCCTTTAGTGATGGGATATGATTGTGCATTTATATATTTTTTGTACTTTGGGAGTTTTGTTAAAACTAATATTTTTGTGATTTTGTACTTTGGGACATGATTTTATTGCATCTACTTTCTTACTTCCACTATTTTTATATTCATTTAGATGTTTTTATGTAAATACAATATTGCAATTTTCCTGCTAAAATCCTTAATTTTTCATTTACGCAATTCTGGTGTCCGTGAGGCTTACGCCTCAGAAGAAGCCTCGAGGCTTACGCCTCGCCTTACGGACGAAAACCGCCTCGAGGCTTATTTACGCAATTTTAAACCTTGATTGATATGCATCCTACTTATATGCCCGATGACTCCAGAACATGGATGAATTAGTCATAGAGGATCTGTGATAAAGTTACTTCGCTCATCTTCCCCAAAGATGAAACTTGAAGTGACTTGATGTCTCGTGTTAGTGTTAAGAACTTTTGTATGCTCGATCTTACTACTTCAGTGATGATGAGCTCCTCTATTATTTTTGACTCTCATTTGTGTTCTAGGAGATTACCTTGTGAGTTGTGATGAGGGTCGAAGAGCCGAAATGACAAGTGTTGATTGGTGTTGGGTCATCACTCTGTTTAAAATTGCGTATAAGAGGCGCGCCTCTGCACAATTCATCCAAAAACCGCCTGAAGCTTACGCAATTCCATCCTCTGGCAGAGGCGTATGCCTCACATGGACTGAGGCGCGCCTCAGAGGCGCAATTGCGCAATTCTTAGTGAGGCGTACGCCTCATGGGAATGGACCCACCCCATAAAAGAATGTTTTTTCTCCTTAACCCGCACGACAACAGCTCCTTCCGAATTTTTCCTACCCGCACGGCTCTAATTCGCGAAACAGAGAGCTCCCGCACGGTCCTTACCCTCCAGCTTCCCTTCCCGCCGCTTCTCCCGCCGGCACCGCCTTCTCTCCGGCGAGTTGAAACTTCCGGCCGCCCTCTAGGAGTACTCCACATTGGATTTTAGGTATTTTTTTTAGTTTAGGGTTAGATTTTTCGTGTAAGAAAATCTAGGGTTTATTGTTTTTTTATTGTAGGAAAACCCTTAATTTCTCATTTACACATTCTTGTCCGTGAGGCTTAAGCCTCAGACCGCCTCGAGGCTTACGCCTCGCCTCACGGACGAAAACCGCCTCGAGGCTTAATTACGCAATTTTAAACCTTGGGTCATCAAACTCATAAAGGTTGATTTCAATAGAGGTAAGTGAAGAATTCCTAGGGCAAAAGATGAGCTTGTAGAATGGAGGCCAAGGAGTGAGTGACGAGGTAGATTGAGGGCGTCATGAGAGTGAGAGAGCTATATAGTGTTGGCAAAGATGAGACAATTGTTGAAGGCCTGAGCTGTTTCATTTGAGGCAAAGAACTGGAGAGATATGCTGAGAGAGCTCAAGTAGGTGTAGACTAATAGGTTAAAGCAAGAGCCATTTAGGGATGAAGTGTGAAAGAGAGAGTTAGTGAGGGTGAGTGATATAAGCATAATGCTACAAGTGTGCGAGCATTAGAGAGATATGCTCAGTAAGGGAAATAATGAGTGGAGGGACATGGGACGAGATTTTGTGCACAATTGTGGGGACGTCGCGTCTTTCATGTTACCATATATATATATATATATATATATATATATATATATATATATATAATTATATAAGCAATAAAACAAAATGGATATTATTTGGATATATTTTATAGAGGTGAGAGATGCATTTGGTTAGACTTTGAATTGTTGTGGAAGTGCAAAGAAAGTAGGCAGACTAACATGGCTAGATGATGTTCAGATGATTTAGCTGAATTTTAATCCACATAGAAATGCTTCTTTAAACAGGAATAAGTATGGCAACGGATTCAAAATATGAAGTAGTGGGAGATGATGCTGGTCTTTTGGTTGATATAGAAATGCTTCTTTTGCTTGATATATATATATTTCAAATACGGGCATATGATCTAAAGAAAATAGAGCTAATGCAGTGTCATTTGTATTTTAAAACCTTTTTTATTTAGTAAAATAAAAACATTAATTATGACTTTCTTGCTTCATTCCAGGATATGGCTAAAGTTACAGTTCACTTTGTTCGAGGGAATAACCCAGAGAAGTTTGCTTCCACGCTAACCAACTTTATGGGCAAGGTGTTCCTCTCCTCTCTCTCTCTCTCTCTCTCTCTCAATCTCTCTCATTAAAACTGAATTAACTCATCATCACCAACTTATAACTTCAAATAATTAACTGTACCACATAATACAGGATACAAACAATCATTCAGTATAACCCTTGCGCAAAAAAAAAACTCCGTAAGAAACCCCCCCCCACAACTTTAGGTCACGCCAATGTACTCCCCTCACTTCCCCAGTAGTGCAAGGTTGTTCCCTAGCCACACTATTCTCCAAATTTGCCATTCAAAATTCTGAAATTCAGTCATACCTTTGTATGTTATTTATTTGATTTTTTTTGGTGTTGCAAATTATGTATTAAATGAAAGCTGCATAACAAAGCTTGATTTTGTTGTTACATGAATAATAGCTATAGCTTGAGCTTATTTGAATACACCACACTGAATATAAAAATAGTAGCAAATGTGATGTTTTGCAGCCTTTTTTCTGTTAATTCATATTAATTTGAACTATCATGCAGAGTTGCAGGCAAATAGTATACAAGCACTAATAAAATGCTTGTTGATCTCTGTTAATTATCTATGTTATTTTTCGTATAAAATGAGGAATTGTTGTTTTTAAATTTTGTATTTTCTCTTCTTTGTATACCCTTTGAAAAATAACTTATAAAATTAATTAATAGAGTGATTTGAAAATTATTTTTAGGTTTTTATATATTATCTTTAGAATTGAGAGAAAAGTCATGCAATCAATTTGGTGGATAGGCTTAGCAAAACTTGATTTGAAATAATACGCAGCACACAAAAGTAAAGTGCTTCGAAGGATTCAAAATGTCCCAACATAGTTGGGACTATGTGATGTAGCATCAACGTGATCCCTTTTGTAGCACTCGATCTACTGGACTGCAGCAATAAACAGCGTTGTCAAATTTCCTTCAACGACCTCTGTTTTTCTCAGGACCATAGAATCATTGGTTCTATTTGCCTATAGCTTTAAAAACTTTTTTTTTTCTTTTTTTTAAACCCTTTTACAATTTCTGCTTTCCCTGGACTATAGCAGTTGTGCAACAACTTCTGCTTTCATTTCATTTGATAATGTGTCTCCTATTGTTTTCACTTCTCTTTCCTATATAAATTTGGATGGGTTGTCATATTTAGGATTGTGTCCATCTTCTTCCATTCATTTCTTTTTATATTTTCCTCACGACTTAGTTTAACCTAAACATAAGCAATCAATTACATTTCAAAGCAATCATGCTTTCATTTTTTTCGATGATGAGATCTCTAAGCTTGTTGGACCACTATTTTTCTATTTTCATCAAATTCTTTTTGGGCTGCTCCAACCTGATTTTATTCTCTAATTCATGTCAGATTTACATTTGGCTATTGAATATTTAGTTGGGCTATTTGTTTATCCTTGTCATATTATTAGAAGCATATTGCACCCGATGCTTCTCTCAGTGAACCTATTATGTCAGTGTCTATTTGATGCGCATGCGAAAGTGATCTCCCTTATTTGATGTTTCCAAGGAACTTCCTATCACCCCAATATGGGATACTTTATTTTAACCAATTAACTTTATATTCCTTGTGATCTTCAAAATATTTGGGCACAATAGGTGCATTCTAACATTTAGATCCTTTCTTCTCTAACAATTGATCTCGCCCCTTCAGTCCTGGTTTGCATTTAGAATTTAAAACCAATTGACTTTTCTTTGGAATTTGAGTTCATTGTGAGAGAAGAAAGGATCTCTACATCATTTACATGAAATACTATGGTTACTAATTCTCTTATTTTTGAACTTCTTTATGTCCCTTTTATTTGTGAAGACATGCTGATTATTTAGCATCAACCTTACGATCATGATGGTAGCATTCTAAGTGATGATGTTTTGGTGGGCAAAGGGTTTCCTTCCTGTTTGTCAGATGCGGCCAAGATAAGAAGAAAATCTATCACCACTTACCTATTTTTACCAGGCTTCATGAAAGGCTGCCTAAATGTGTGGTTTTGCTGCTCTAATGGATCCTTGGACATCAGGCTATTTTTGTTGTCTTATGTATTTTCTTTCTTTTTCTATATTTGGCAATTCCTGGTAATTTCTTTTGTTTACTTCATATCATTTTCCAGTTAGAATATTGTACCTTAAAAAATGTTATTATAATTGCTAAAGTATATCTAATATAAAAGTTATATCATTTATATCTAACTTGTATGCTATATCTATAGTCTTGTCCATTGGTTATAGCCAAATTTCTCAGTTTCTTGAAGGAGATTAAAACATACTTTTGTTGATAGACAAAAATATCATCCCCTGATCAAGAAATTTTCATAGCAAGATAATATCAAAATTTTTCAAGCCTTTAATCTCAAATTCTTTCATCAGAAGATTCTTAAAGTTGGTTGTTTCTTCCTCATCATTTCTATTAAGGATAAAGTCATTGACATAAATGACCAGTATGACAATCTAGCTAAGGGAATTAGTTTGATACCCGAGAAATATGTGGGGGGCTTTATTGATTCAATTCCTCAAGGATTCTAGTGTACAATCTTAGTATAAATAGAGGTGAATATGCTTAGTATAAATATAGGAGATGATTCACGGTTTTCCCAGTGGACAACAAAAGTATTTTCCTAAATGGAAACAAATAAGAAGAAAATAACAATAAGACATTATATAAATATTTGAATTTAGATTTTTATTATATTTAATGATGCTCAAAGAAGGAAGAAGCAATGCCATGGATTGTTAAGGTGGATGAATCAATTTTGAAAACTTTTTGAATAGATTCAGGCAGACTGACAGTATGATCTTTGGATATCTGAAACAACCAATACTTTATAATATTCTACATCATGAGGCAGTGAAACATCTTATTGATGTTAAGCTAAATTCTTTAATCTTGTAAATTATGTAGCATTTAAGCTTATTTCTAAATGGCTTTGTATTATCTTTTTTTAATATTATTTTCTTCTATTAGTGCTATCCTGGGGAAGATGATTTGGCAATTGCACGTGCAGTCCTGATGTAAGTTTTTCTAAATATTAGAAGTATTTTGATAACCATGTCTTGCAGGCCATCTTATGAACTTGTTCAATGTTACATCTAGGATGCACATTATGCTATCTTTTAGTGGAATTTTATAAAGATAATGTGTTTTTTAACTTTAATCTGAAACTTATTTATATTGTAATCATTAATTGAGCAATCTATTCTGCTGTTATATACTTATATCTCTCAGGGACCATTAATGATTATTTTGATATGGACATACATATTTCTGCATGTGACCCTTTAAGTTTGAACATTTTGTTTCGCTTCAGGTACTTGTCACAAGGGAACCTCAGAGATGCAAATAAACTCATGGGTGAGTTGAGGAAGCAGTTGAAAGCGAAGCAGCAAACCCTTCCTAATTCAGACCTGATCCAATTTGTCGTATATCTTTTGGAAACGCAAGTTCCTGACCCTATTGACTCTTTTTTTTTTTTGTACTGTGCTATAATACTTGAAAGTACTTCTGTGATGTTCTCAATCTATGAACCAAGGACACAACGAGGCGACATATAAATATTAAATAATATGTACTTTGAAAGCATTTCCTTGATGTTCTTAATCTATGAACCATAGAAAGAATAAAGGCCACATTATATACATTATCATACAGATGATATTAAGATATGCTGCCTTGAAAAATCAGAAGAGATGTATGCTGTAGGAAGTGGGGAATAATTTGCACGAGTACCTGAAAATCCACTTATATAATGTTTATATAGAACTATACATTGTATATATATTTTGTTATTTGTATGCATATGAAGGAGCCCATCCATCGGCACTACACTATTGCACATATGCCAACACTAGAAATAGTCATGGACTCATAGTTACTCATATTGTACGTCGTACAGGTGTTTATGAGGTGTTTACAATAGGTATTTAAAAGATAATTCTCTAATTTACCTGAGATGTGCCATCTTTTACAATATTTATATTTTCCTGCGTTTGAAATTTACTGATGCTCTTTAAAATTTTAAAGAGAATTTTACATTTTTTTAATAGGAGAGATGTACAATTTTTTCATCATCATCATTAGCCCTATCCGAACTATTTGGCTTGGCTTTATGAATCTTAATTCTTCATTCATTCCCCTTGAGAGCTTTCTTGAGTGTTAAATCTATTTTGTGCAAATATTTTTGCATAATATCTAGCATGTTATATTTGATCTACCTTTTTTTATTCCTGATCCTTACCCAATTATTGTATACATGTTAGACCGGTCCAGGTTTACAAATGGATGCAGAATACTTCCGTCTCCACAACATTTAACCCCCCCTTCTTTGGGGGTGGGGTCCAGCAGCCTTCAAGAGCATTTAAGAGGCAATTAAAGGGGAGGATTATTGGGGAAATTTAAAGTAAGGGAGATGTTTGGGTATTTTACTATTTTTTTGGTTGCTTTAAGTAAAATTGTAAACCTAGGGTTAGAGATATCTATGTTTTTGCTGAATTTAAGAGTTCTCTTAGGTTTGCTTGGGCTCTAGTCACCGGCTAGGGATTGGGAGAGCATGATTTTCCTCATCAATTGAAGATCCATTGCATCTTGTTTGTCTTCTTTTGTATTTCATCAATCTAAAGCCTTTTCAAGTGTTTGCCACAAGATTCTTCTCTATCTCAGATTTTTTTTGCTGAAATTTCAATTTCAGTCAACAATTTATGCACTTGTTTCCTAACAAATTGGTATCAGAGCGCCTCGATCCAGGGTACCGATGGCTGGGAGGAAAGTACAAGTTTTGGAAGAGGAACTAGGCTAATTTAAATCAGATTTTGTGGAGAAATTTTCAGAAATTGAGAAGCAATTTTCATCTGTCCATGAAAAGATGGATGAGAAGTTTGCCATCGTGGAAGAGATGCTGAAGAATCGGCTTAGGGCCCAACCCAAAATGACGATATTAAAGGCCAAGGGAGCCACCGACGACCTAGGATGCCATGGAAACCCTAATCCGTTAAGGAGGGGAAAATCGAAAGGTGGAGATTTTGGAGGAAGATGGGATGCATCCCCTAGAGCCTATTTCTAGGGAGTAGATGAGTACAAGGTATGAAAGAAGGGGTGTTGATTTTGCAAGAAGAGAGGCTGATTTTGAGCGCAGGGGTGAGGATTGGGATAGAAGGAGAGGAGATTATGAAGAGGGGTTTGGGTATGAGCACAAAAGGGAGGATCGGGACACTTGGGAAGGACCCCCCTTTAGGGAATGGGAGGTTATGGAGGATTCAGGAGATGCAGAGGTGATCCAAAGATGAGGAAGAAGATACCCATCTTTAAGGGAGAGAACACACATTTGTAGATTTATAAGGTTGAGAGATATTTCTTCGTCAATGGATTGGAAAAAGGAGGAGAAGCTGACGACAACTAGTATATGTTTGGAAGGGAAGGTCTTGGCTTGATACCAGTGGAGACATGTGATAACCCATACGGAGCTGGAGAGAGTTCACAGACTGCTTGTTGGAACGCTTCCGAAGCAACAAGGGATGGGATTTTTATGAGCATCTTTTCCCCTAACTCAGGAGGGATCGGTGGTATACTGAGAAGTTCGAGTACCTCGCTAGGCGATTGGACTGGCTTCCTGAGACGGTGTTAGAGGGGAACTTCACGAGGGTCTCAAATCAGAGATCCGGGTGGTGGTTAAAGTGATGAGGCCTCATGACTTGGGAGAGGCTATGAAGCTAGCACAATTGGAGGACCAAAAGCATCTAATGAGGGGGCTAGGGGCAACAACTCAGAAAACGCATACAGGATGACCACCATGTTTTTAGCACCAAAGGGGCTGACACCTGCTGCTTTATGAGAGGCCCTAAAGGAGAAGCCCATAGAAGGGGGAATTGAGGAAAATTTCAATAGGCTCACTGAGGAGATGCAGAAGAAGAGGGCTAAGTGATTGTACTTTAGATGTGATGAGAAGTATACATCGGGGCACATGTGTAAGGACCGAACTCTTCAGGTTCTCATCATCTGTGATGATGAGGAGGCTGAGGAGGGAGGTGGGAGTGAGGCTGTGGTAGAAGAGAAGGAAGAGCTACATCTTGATATGACGAAAGTCTCCTTAAACTCAGTGGTGGGATTCACTCTGTAAGGGATAAATAACAGATTGAGAGGTGGTAGTACTAATAGATAATGTGGCTACCCACAATTTTATTTCCAACCAGGTCATAGACCAATTGGGGGTGAAGTTGGTAGACACAAGGTGTTATGTGGTGATGATGGGCACTGGGAAGATGGAGACGGGTAGAGGAGTGTGTAGGGGAGTGGTACTGACTATATTGCGGGTACAAGTGAGGGGGGATTTCCTCTTATTGGAGCTAGGGAGCATGAATGTCATCTTGTGGATGAAATGGCTACAGACCTTGGGAGGTATCAAGGTCAATTGAGAATTATCAGGCCGAGTGTGTGTCCTTTTTCTAGCCCAATCTTACTGGTCAAGAAAAAGAATGGGAGCTGGAGATTTTTTGTTGACTATCGGGCCCTGAATAAGGAGAATGTGCCGAACAAGTTTCCCCATACTGGTTATCGATGATCAACTGGATGAGCTTGGTTGAGCAGTGGTGTTCACTAAGATAGATCTGAAGTCAGGATACCATAAGCTTAGGATGAGAGAGGAGGATGCCTTGAAGATTGCATTCAGGACACATGAGGGGCATTACGAATTCTTAGTGATGTTGTTCGGCCTCACAAACACCTATGCTACTTTCCAATCCCTTATGAACAGGATATTCTGACTATACGTCTGAAAGTTTGTACTGGTTTTTTTTGACGATATCCTAGTGTATAGTAGGTCTGAGGAGAAGCATTTTGACTCTTTAAGGTGGTTTTAGGAGCCTTACAGGAGCAGCAGCTGAGGGCAAATCTGAAGAAGTATTTTTTTGTACAGGCCAATATGGAGTACTTGTGGCATGTGGTATCCCAAGAGAGAGTACTGAAATGGCCTCTACCTAGTAATCTGAGAGAGTTGAATGGTTTCTTAGGATTGACAGGGTACTATAAGCGATTTTTTAGAGGGTATAGTACCATAGCCTGGTGATGCAATCAAAAATTTGGGAGAGGGACCCAAATTTTTGATCACAAAAACATACCCTTACTAAGATAATAAAAATTCAAATAACTCATAAAAATTAGACTAATTAGACAAATAAACTAAAACACCATTTTCATATTATAAAAGGACTTACAAACAACTTGAACACTTGCAAACGACTCAAATGACACTTACAAGACACCCTATAGTTGCTTCACTTAGAGAAGAAGGATACAATGGAATGGCACTTGCGGATAGACGAAAGAGGTTAGAAGCCAAGACGAAGGTTGGAAAGAGCTCGCAAGATTTTCATAGGAGGAGGGGAAGAAGATTGGAAAGAGCCCGCAGGATTTTCAAAGTAAAAACCTCTCAGGTTTTTGTCCCAAAAATCACATCATATCACTCACATAACATCTCTAAAACAGCCACAAACATTTTCTATTTATAGACCAAAGAAAGGAATACCAATAGCCACTAAAAGCATTAATTAAAGAAGGTCAAAAGGCTCCTAAAACTGCAGTAGAAATCTGTCCAAAACTCTTCAAATTCTGTCCCAAAAACTGCCCAGAAAACTGAGAAGAAACAGATCACGGGACCAACAGCCAGCCACGGAACAGCCAGGATTCACGGGAAAAGCACCGAAACAATAAAGGAACAGCAGGCCCAAGGAATCCAAAAAACGAACAGGCACCCCAAGCAGTCACGGCTGCATAAATTCCAGCCTATTCCTCTCCCAATGCCATAAGACAGCTCTCCAAACAGCCATAAAAGGAAGAGAAAAAAGAATAGGAAAAGGCAAGTTCCACTCACCAAAATCTGCCATAAAGTAGTACTAAAACTTCAGCTTATAATGAGCTCAACTTCACAAGATATTAATGAGCTTGCACTACTTAGATCTCAACCACCAAAGCCCAAACCGAAACAAAACAGCCACTGCACATCTACCTCCACCAAATAGCACAAGGATATGTTGGACCCATAAAACCACAAAACAGCCCAAAGGATAAGGTGGAGATGAAAGGACAAGATAATGAAGAGTTAGGAGAGGGGGAAGATGAAAAGACACAAGGCAAGAAATTAAAAGTAAAACTCAACTTGTGTTGACCCCCCCTTTGTCTACATCACCTGGCCACTGACAGAGCAATTGAAGAACAACTTCTTGTGGGAGGAGGCAGCTATATCCAGACTTTTGAGATGTTGAAGAAGGCCATGATCACGGTACTAGTCCTAGCCTTACCTGATTTCAGCTAGATTTTCATAATAGAGACGGATGCATCCGGATATAGATTGGAGACAGTGCTTATGCAGAATTATAGACCCATAGCCTACTTCAGCCAAGTGTTGATAGTCAGAGCTAGGCTGAAGTAAGTCTATGAGAGGGAGTTGATGAACAACATGTTAACCATTCAGAAGTGACGATCTTACTTATTGGGCCGACATTTTATTATCAGGATAGACCAAAGAAGATTGAAGTACCTGTTAGAACAAATGATATTGACCGAAGAGAATTTGAGGTGGCTATCAAAGTTGTTGGGCTATTACTTTGAAATCCAGTACAGGCTAGGATTAGAGAATAAGGCGGCTGATGCCTTATCCAGATGCATGGGGAGCTCCAAGAGATGACCATTTCAATACCACTGATGGTAGATTGGGGGGATATCAAAGAGGAGAGTGTGCAGGATGAGGAGCTGAGGAAGCTAAGGATGGATCTACTGAGGGACGAGATTAGCCACCTCGGCTATTCCTTCGAGGGAGAGAGACTGTTGTACCAAGGGAGGTTTGTGCTTCCACAGATCTCAGTTCACATCCTCCATCTATTGCAGAAGTTCCATGGGAGCGTTGTTGGTCATTTTGGTGTGCAGAAGACATATAAGAGATTGAATGCATAATTGTATTGGAAGGGGATGCACAAGGATGTGGAGGAACTAGTGGCTAGGTGTGAGGTATGCCAGAAAAACAAGTATATGGCTATGACTCCAAGAAGATCACTTCAACCCCTGGTTTTTCCAGACAGAGTATGGGAGGAGGTCACCCTGAATTTCATAGATAGCCTACCACATCCGAGGGGTTTACAGTGATTCTAGTGGTGGTTGTCAGATTGAGCAAGTATTCTCATTTCATTCCCTTACGGCACCTTTACTCGGTAGTTATAGTGGCAACAACATTCATCAGAGAGGTGGTCGGATTACATGGGATCCCAAAGTTGATAGCTTCTGACCAATATAAGGTGTTCCTCAGTCATTTTTGGAGGAGCTGTTCAGGTTTTAGTGAACAATTTTGAAGAGGAGCACCGCTTACCACCCTCAGATAGGTAGATGGAGGTGGTAAACAAGAGCCTGGAGACCCTTGGTGCATTTTGGGCAGAGTAGTATACCAATCTCTTCTGTAGAGCAGTACTTATAGGAAATATATAGTTTGTTGAACGAATTGAAGAGACAATTATTAAGGGATCAATAAATGATGAAGAAGCAGGCTGATGGACACAAGGACATCCAATTTGAAGTTGGGGATAGGGTGTTCTTATATCTTCGGCCCTATAGACAAAGGACGGTAGCCAACTTGAGGATGAGAAGCTAACCCCAAGATATTTTTGCCCTTATGAGGTAATGGAGAGGATTGGAGCAATGCTTATCGTTTGAGGTTACTTTTGACCGCTACCATACATCTAGTGTTCCACATGTCATAACTGATGAGAGCTCTTGGGGATCATGCAGCTAGTTTAGAATTACCAGTGACATTGATTGAGAATTTAGAGGAGGTGTTGGAACTATTGGAACTGAAAGGGGTACGATAGAAAGGGATCAAGGAAGTCTTAATCAAATGGAAGAACCTACCCGACCATGACACCACCGGGAGCCGTACGAGAAGGTGAAGCATCAGTTCCCGTCTTTTCACCTTGAGGACAAAGTGGGTCTTTGGGAGGAGAATATTGTTATATCGGTTCAGGGACCGGTCCAGGTTTACAAAAGGAGCCACCTCCAGAACAATTAACCCCCCTTTGAGGGTGGGGTCCAACAGCCTTCAAGAGCATTTAAGAGGCAATTAAAGGGGGGGATTAGGGGGGAAATTCAAATTAAGGGGGATGTTTGAGTATTTTACTGTTTTTTGGTTGCTTTAAGTGAGATTGTAAACCAATGGTTAGGGATATCTATGTTTTTTGCTGAATTTGGGAGTTCTCTTATGTTTGGTTGGGCTCTAGTCGCCGGCTAGGGATTGGGAGAGCATGATCTTCCTCTTGAATTGAAAATCCATTGTATCTTATTTGTCTTCTTCGGTATTTCATCAATCTAAAGGCTTTTCAAGTGTGCCATAAGATTCTTCTCTATCTCAGATTTTATCTTGCTAAAATTTAAATTTTAGCCAACAATTTCTTCACTTATTTCCTAACAATACCCTTTTTATTACTGCATGATATATGTTCTATTGTACATAGATAATCACGTGTCTATTTTCCACTATTTTATCTTCAATAGGTGTTATTCACACATCCTTGTGATCCCTCTTATATGATAATTTCTCAATCTATTGTTTCTAGCTTTTGCCACACACCCATTTTGACATTTTTATTTCAGTTACGCACAACTTAGATATCAATCCCTTGACCGCCTAACTCAGTTTAAGAAATCATAGCCTCCTTTATTCTTCTGTATAATATTTTCAAGTACATAAATCTTTCCATCTAGATGTTATTTGATTTTTTGGCAATATTGACTCATAATTATGATTTTCAGAACTACTTCAATTATATATTATATATACTCAGCCTTTATTCTTTTTATCTTTAGCTGATTATCTTACAAGTATTTCTATAATTGCTTGAACTGTTTGCTTAGTTGAGATCTTATCAATCAAAATTATGTCATATGCAAATGGTATATATTAAAGGGAAAACATTTTGAATATATCTTGTAACCGCCTCCATGCTTGATACAAAATGGCTTGAATTTAACGTTGATATTTCATGTAATCTTATTGCGATTGAGAACTTTTTCTATCCTCCACATAAAATTCCAAAATTAGACAACATTCTATCACGTGTATGTTTAACACTTAAATGTACCTTTGACTTGCATCTCCTTTTATTAATGCACAATTATTTAGTTTACATAGTACTCATAAGTAATCTAAAGATGAATAAAAATGTTGGCAATTATTTTAATGTTTGAAGTTGTGTATGTTGTGTTTAGTGTTTCTGGATACTTCTCAAATATTAACCAAGAAGCATATAGAAGACAAAGAAATCAGATTGGAACCGGATTACTAGGAAACTATTTAACTATTGCATATTTTGCAGAAACTAGTCACAAAAAGCCATGGTTACTTCAAAGTATACTAAATGATGTCTCAATATCTTGTGAAGTGTTCGTTCTGCTACTTGAAACAGCTGTCCAAGGACATGCCAATGCTCAATCCGGCCAATTCTTGACTTGCACTAGCAATCAAATTCAGCTTAACTTGCTTCTATCTTAAAGATGACTTGCTCTTCATACAATAAGAAATTATGAACATACATTATTTTGCTTGTAAAAAATTGACCCGACCCAAAATTCCGAGTTTGGGTTGACTTGTTTACTACCCGTTTAATAATGCTGGAATGCATTGCAGATAATGCTACACTTCTAATTTTTCATTATGTTGTATTTTTTCTGCCTTACCTATTTGAAAGTAGTATGTTTTTGGGATTAGAATTAACACATTGTCGTGTGGTTAGGTGCTAAAAATGCTTCAGATGTTGTCTTTAAAGGCGCTAAAAATCTGACTTTTATCCAAGATGTACATCTATTAAGCAGCATATCATATATTTCATTTTTTTGGCATGCCTGTGCATTTCCCTGCGTGACTTACACGCTTAACAAATGTTGAGTAGTGCCGACCTTTTACAAATCTGGTTCCATGTCATGCAGGCTGGAAAGAGATGCTTTGCCACTTTTCAGAATGTTAAGGCAGAAGTACAAGTCAAGCATAGACCGTGAACGCTTGTTTGATGAGGTTCAATTTTTTAGTTATTTTTTATCCTTGATGCAAAACCATGTTGTTTATTTTATTTTTTATTTTATTTTAGTGTTTACCTTAGCGGTATCTCTCTCTTCCTAGCAAGTTCATTACTCTTGTTTGTTTTCCTGGATGAGTAAAAATCTTTTTCTTCTCCGTCATCTATCACCTCATGCTGTTTGCAATTATCTTCTTTGAAAATGAATTAGTACATAACAAGTGAGAGTTTATGGTATATGTTAATTTTGGGATTCATTTTTATGGGATATGTGAAGATTCACAGCTAATTGCATATTCATTTTTCAAGGGTCATCTTGCAATTTAGTTACAATTTTTTGTTCAGATTTGTGCTTTAGTCTATGTTTTTTGGAGACCCTCTGGTCATAAGAAAATTGATCAAATTGCTTATTTTATTTTAATTAGGACGTTACGTACAATAAGGAAGGCAATAGTGCCTTCATCTATTACGTGTACTCTATCAATGAACTTGGACCTGTTGTCCACGCTGTTGTGGAGCTTGTCGCTGAAAAGGTATAGGCCAGAAAGAGCTTGGTACTGGAGAGTTGCCTTTAATTGAACGTTTCAAGCTGTGTACAAAGAAGTTGGCAGCATTGTGGCGGCGCTACATTTGGTGGTGTCAAGTCCAACTCAGGATGCAAGAGGAGTTCATGGCACTGGAAGCTGTGTCAATGAGTGAGTTATACAACATGGAATAGGAGAACTGCTGCACTCATGTACAATTTATGGGCTTCCTTTTCATCCAGGCGGCCTCTTTGAGATATGATTGACAATGAACTTGGCTCCGAAGGGTTTGTTTGACTTATACGTGCTGTGTGGGGTACAAAGTGGTTGGCAGCATGGTGCTGACGCTGAGTTAGTTGGGGTGTTAAGTCCAACTTAGGGTTTAGGAGGAATTGGTGTTGGAGCTACCTTGATGAGTGAGACAATGCATGTAGGCAAAGGTGTTCTCTTGCGCGAATTGATTGAATTCTTGGCCAAAAAACTTCTCAAAAAATGGCATGGAGAATTAATGGGTCAAAATGAGGATGTCTGTGCATGGAGATCTGCCAATGATGGATGTGACTTTTGAATAAGGGATAGGTGAGGCAAAGGGGAATATATTTTTTTATCTCGAATTAGAAGTTTTCATTGTAGCCACCAATTAAGATTGGAAGATGATGTCTTTTAGTGACAACAATGCTGAACTGCTCTACAGAGTGCTATTGGATGAAGCAACTAGAGGTGGTTGAGCAAGCCAGTAACTTTTGTAAAAGAGGCAAGTGTTTTTCTATCTACTTGCTTTTTCTACTTTCAAGACGCATCAAATTGGTATCAAAGCGAGGTTTTGGAGAGATGGAAGCAAATAAGGTGGATGCTTTGGATGGCAAAGTGGAGAATATTAAATCCAGGATGGAGGAGAAGTTCTCAACCATGAAAGGTTTTCAGTCATGGAGAATCAGATTGAGAGCCAATTTGGAGTGTTGGAGGAGATGATGAGGAAGCTTTTGAAGATGCAATCGAAAACTCCTTTAGTGGTTTCGGTTGCTAATTCTAACCAAGATTTGATCGGGATTCCCTTTGTTGAATCTAAGGGAAAGCAGATCGGACGAGAGGAGTTTGACGAGGAGAGTTTCTTTTTAGGTGGGGGGACGGCAAGGAGAGAATTTATTGGAGGTAGTAGGGTGGCTGACCATTATGAGAGGCATTTTGAGCAAGTGGGATGGGCAATTGGAGCTGGAGAGGTCGAGTCGAGCCATGGGGATCGGATCATCCAAGGAGGAGGGAAGAAAGGTGGGATTCCTAGCCTCGATACTTGGGGAGTGGGGTGGGGGTGGGACCATTATAGGGAGAGGGAGTTGGAGTGGAGATGCTAGGGTAAGGAAGTTGAAGATGCATATTTAAAGAGGAGGATGCCCATGGGTGGATGTACCGGGTGAAGAGTTATTTTGTGGTGAATGGGTTGAATGAGGAGGAAAAGCTTGTGGCAGCAGGATTGTGTCTAGAAGGGAAAACCCTATCTTGGTTCCAGTGGAGGGAGGCTAGATATCCAATCTACTCTTGGGAGGAGTTTAAAGATTGCTTGTTGGAACATTTTCTAGCTATTCGAGAAGGAGACCTACACGAGCAATTTTTTGTCTTCGCTTAGAAAAGGACTGTCATGGAGTATAGGAAGATATTTGAGTTGTTGTCAGGATTGTTGATGGGGATTTCGGAGGCAGTGTTGGAGGGAAATTTCATGAAGGACCTAAAGCCTGACGTACGGGCAGACCTCCGAAGGGGTTGTGGAAGATGATGGAGCTAGCCCAGATAGCAGAGGATCAAAGACAGATGGAAAGGATCAATAGGAGTGGAGTCACGGGAAGCTCCTAAGTGCCTTGACTTCACTTGCATTGAGGACCCAGATATTGTCATTTCAACGAGAGGCACCGAGAGCGAAGAGTAGGGGTGTTTGTCTCGGGGCCAACTTCAAGCGCCTCAGATAGTTAGAGATGCATGACAAGAGAGAGAAGGGCTTCTGATGTGATGAGAAGTATTCACCAGACCATCGGTGCAAGAATCGCACACTCCAGATCTTTATGGTTTGTGATGAGGAGGAGACCAACAAAAAGGAGTTGGAAGAGGAAGTAGAAGTGGGAGGAGAGCACCTACCTTGATAAAGTGGAAGCGCCCCTTAACTCAATAGTGGGATTTACTCCAAATCACATCATGGAAGTGAGGGGACAGATCAAGGTACCCAATGTTGGTCTTGGTGGATTGTGGGGCTACTCATGAATTAGTTGATATTGAAGTTGGTGAATAGAGGGAGCTTTAGATTCATGAGAGGATAGGGTAGGTGGAGAGGAATAGGGGGATCTACAGGAAATTGGTGCTGACATTCCAAAGCATATAGATAGTGGAGAATTTTTTTCCTTAGATTTGGGGAGCACTAATTTGATCCTAAAGATGAAGTGGTTACAGATGATAAGGGAGATGAAGGTGTACTGAAAATATTTGACTTTGGAGATCCAGGTGGAGGGGAAGAGGGTGTTGCAAGGAGATTTCAGCATGTGCAAAACCATCATTTCACTCAAAACCATGGTCAAGGCGATACAGGGAGCAGGGCTAAGTTACTTGGTGGAGCTGCAGAACCTAAGAGGAGGCCCGAGATTCAGATCCATTCGAGGTCCCTGAGTGTGTACATCAGCTTCTATGGTAGTTTCATGTGATTTTTTAGCATCCTAGCGGATTATCGCAGCACAAGCATGCCATTAATTTTTATAACATTATCCTTCAAACTCTTATCTATAATCACACCTACACCATTTCTAGTATGACTCCTACCCGAATACCAAAGTTTTAAACCTAAACTATCAATCTCCTTAGCTCTCTCTCCAACCCATTTAGTTTCCTGAATGCACATAATATTTAACTTCCGATGAATCTTAATATCTATTGATTCCATTAATTTTCATGTAAGGGAACCTATATTTAAAGTTCCTATCCTAAATTTAGTTTCATGGACTAGCTTATTTTCCCACATCCATTCTTGATGTGGGAACCCTTGCCTATTTAACATTGCACGCGGGCGCTGATGTAGCGGCCCTTGCACACTTGTCACTATATTTAGGTCATACAGCGCATCGCTTCCAGAGGATGTTCTAGCATTAACACAATTTCTTAAAGGATTCATGTCATTATTATTCGAAAAATTTTAGGTTGGTTGTCGACTACCTAACGCAACCCTCCATTTTTCTTATTCAGGACTTGGGACCTGGCAACGACAGTGTTCAATGAAGGGCTTTATAAATTTCCAGTACCTGGACTTCTTGGCCCATCTTCAACATGAACATCTTATATGGTGAAGCATATTTTTCAGTCTTCAGAGTTCAGATCTAAGGTCTTATTTAATGCTCGATAAATCATATTCTCTTTACTTCCGTATGGATAAGAACATTGCAAACCATATTATTGATATTACTTTGAATCTTGAATATCTTTTGGCATTGCATGTCATCGATCTGTTTAGGCGCCAACAAGATTCATTGAATAATACAAGTGACTACCTCTCTGTCATCTTCTTCAGTATAATTGCCATTGCCTTAAGCTCCAGCACTAATTCCTTGTTCGGCCCATATGGATCATTATTTAACTCGATTTGACTGTTGGTTTTTCATTTGAGTATTGGATCAATTTAGAATTGCACTTTTTGACTGGAGGTGTGACATCAAAGTTCTTATTGCTGTTAACTGTCGTGTACCCACTTTGATTGTTTGTGGTGCTTGTATGGTTCTTTGAATATTATTTGAAGTCTTATTATTCATTCGAATTTGTTGAGCTTCAATACTTAAAGGCCAGATTCATGACATCTATCACCTTCCAAAAATGTTTGAGAACTAGAAATGGCCAACTTAAGGCCCCTAATATAACTAATCACTTGCTGATCCACTATTTCTAACCCTTTACATCTGGTATTAAATAAATAAAATTTCTGCATTTACCCTAAAACTCTTCGATTTGCTTGTATTATGATATTGTTGATACAGTAATTTTTCATAATTAAGATGAATAAGATGTAGCAAATATTCCCATCTTTGCCCACGTGCAAATGCATTGTTTTGCCGTTGGCAATTAAATTATAATTGTTCTCACCAAATTTAGGCTCAACCTTTCAATTTATACACCCTTGACTTAATGATCTTCTTGAATTTTCAAACAATCAAGAAAAAAATCAATAGTGTGAATCCTATCAAGGAAAACCTCAACGTTTAATCCATCCTTGAATGTGGGCAAGTCCATTCTAATTTAGAAATTTTTCCGAGTTTAGCCAATCTTGAGAGCATTATTAGCCATTGTGATATTTCCCTCTTTATTAGAAAAGTTTTCATCATATTGTAGATTGCATGGATGATACTTGAGTTGTCATTAGTGGGGTTTAACTTCACCCTTGAGGGGACCTGGAAAGAAGTCTCCTCTTTCTTCTTGATTCTTGATGCCCACTCTTTGAAATCCTCATATGCTCTCAAACCTTACCAAAAATTTATCAATGTCTCTTTTGTCATATTGTCACCCAAATATGCCATAGTTGTCGTGCTTGTATGCATTAATGTCTTCGGTACATAATCTATTATTTCCTCTAAACCCATTATCGATCTGACATTGGTGTTCAATGTTATTCTACGAATGTTGTCCTGTGATTTATGTCTGGCGATTATTGTCAGGAGGGCATTCTTTATCATCGATATATGGCATACAACTTCCCGCGATCTAATTACTTTTTCCATTACTAGGTCGTTGTTTGTCATTCATGTCAGCGCCAAATCCGATGTTGCTAGTATTGTTGAAGCTTTGCACTCATTAAGTTGGCATATGCCGAGCTCACACATAACACTGCCTCGTAATTTGACAACCATCAAAATCATTATCAACATTAGTTTTCCTATTAAAGCATCGATGCCATCAACACATCAAATGACCTGCTTGAGTCGCCGGCATCAGGTCTCGGCATCAGGTCTCGGCATCTTCCTCATCCATCCATCATATACCTTTGAACAACATGGGCTCTGATAGTAACTGGCACAAAAAGATGCATCCGAGAACCCAAACAAGAGAAACAAGAAAAACAAGTAGGTCCCCTTATTTATCAGGAAACTCAACTCCAAGGCAAGCGTAGAACGGGAAGTAATTGGGTAATGACAAGTAATAACAAAGCTAGGAAACTTTGGTCTTAAAGTGGAAATAAAGAAAAAAACTAAACAGTTCAATAAAATGAATTATTAGGAGACCAATTCTAATGATCATTCAAGTACTGCATCACTCGAAGACGCCACTAAGGAGCTCCCTAACTCTTTTGTAAACGATGTTCAAGTCACACCTTGCATTTACTGAGGCAGCTAGATGAAAGTGGCTCGAAGGATATGGAATTATCTTATAAAAATGCACTTGTTAGTCTTCAATGATACAATCAATTGCTTGAATACTTTTTTCTAATTGTGTAGTTAGGTCCTGGAACTTACAAGATCTTTCTTTTATTGAGGGTCAAGGAGGCATATTTGGGGTTGAACTTCAGTGTTATTGTAACTTTCCCCTGTTGAGGTTTATAATTTTGTATGAAGTGAGTTCTTCTTCCAGATGATCTCAAAGGGTGCTCTATAACATCCTTCATGGTCATTTCTTATGTAAGGATGGTGAAGGTGAAATAATATAATTTTATATTTAAATTCATATTGATTCAATACTTGGAATTTAAACTTCTCAATCTTAAACTTTGCCAATGATGCTTTTTTTGCCTCAATAATTAGGCTTCATTTAATATCTCCTATTCCCGGGTTTCTATGAACCAACTTAAGCTTTGTTTGGCACCACTTTCTTACTGCTTCTTAAAGCGACTTTTTAGTACCAAAAATTTAATTTTTGTACTAAAAAGCTGCTTTAAGAAGCAGTCAGAAAGTCATCCCAAACAAAGCCTTAATTTGTCTCTGGTAGCATTTGTGCTTTGTGATCCTTTTAAATTATTGAATTTAACCCCTGCTCTGTCTCACAATTGTATCTCTATTTATCCTTCTGAAGCAACTAAAGTAATTTGTTTGCTTCACAGGTTACTGCTTGTTGTGTTGATTATTGGTAATGCTAACTGTTTTAAAACCTTGCTCTTGCAGCTACTAGATGATATTGCTGAGAAGTTTTACGGTGTACGACGACAAGCTGCTTTTCCCGGCATGTTCGGTGATATATTCAAGGTAATAAGATCCATTTCTTAGTTTATTTAACACCATTGAATTATTTGAGGGGTAATTTCAATGCTTAAATAAACTTTCTGACCTACATTTTTATTTTTATTTTTTTTTAACTTTCTTACCTACGTAATATTACATATAAAGTTAGTTTAGGTTTCGTTTGGGAAGTTTTAGACCATTTTTTTTTTCTTTTAAGATATTTTTATACTAAAAAACAGATTTACAAAATAGTAAGAAAGCCATCCCATGGGACAGCTGTCTTATTGCTTTATAAAACAAAGTTTTAGTATAATTTTTTTTTCAAAAAATTTTTGTACTAAAACTTTGTTTTATAAAGCAATACGAAAGTTGTCCCAAATGAAGTCTTAGGCTTTGTTTGGGACGACTTTCTTTCTGCTTCGTAAAGCAACTTTTTAGTATAAAAATTTTAATTTTTGTACTAAAAAGTTGTTTTATGAAGCAGTAAGAAAGACGTCCAAACGAAGCATTTGTCTCACTAAGAAACTGTGGCATTATTATTTGATATAAGCATTTCCACTATAATCTAATTATCAGTAGAAGAATGAGAAGGTTTAGATTCTATTGCCATCTGCTCTTATATTTCATTCAAAATCTTAAAAGTCTGTTTTTTATCCTTGCAGATGATGGATATGCAATTGTGAGGACAGGTTGCATGGCTTTGCATTCGAATATTATTATCATGACCATTTTTACAAAGAGCGTTATTGGGAATTCAAAAGTGGCATTTATACAAACATAATTTCAGTTTTTTATTATGTTTTTTTTTTTTGGTAATGTGCAGTACATTCCCCTTCTTAATAAATGACTAACGTAATTGTACGATTCCTTCACATTTTCTCTAGTTGATGGAAGCAAATTTTATTTCTATTGTGGAAGATGAAAATCTTGCTTTTTTTTTTTGGCAAAAATATGAAGAATTGTTTCCTCCTTTATGTTTGCAAGCTGTGATAATCCAATATAGGAAGTAAAAAAGATTTCCTCAACTCAACATTAAGGACTAAGACTACAATATGTATAAAGGTTAAAATTAAGGTTTCATCTTTTCTAGTTTTTTAGTATAAATATTATAATTTTATTGTAGAAAATTGCTTAAAGAAATAGTGAGAAAGATGTCTCAAATGAAGTCTAATGTATCGGAATATTTTCATGTCATAGACAACTTTATTTGCTCGATAAATTTCAAGAAGATTGATTCATATGGAGCCACTTTGCAAGTATGATAAAAATTTTTAAAAGTGCTTTGAGGTGAACAAGTAAAGAAGAAAGAGTGATGGAAGTAAAAAAAAAAAAAAATTATAGAATTATTATTACAAGAAATGTTGAGACACAAATGTGACAAATGAGAGGTGATGTTTTTTTGAAGTATTTTTTTTTATTGGGAGTATGATAGCTATAGATGTTTTAAGTAGGATGAAGATGTTGTGAGGAAGTTGACTATGGACTAGATTTAAGTTTCGTTTGAGACGGCTTTCCTCAAATTCGATGTTAGAATAACTTTATTAATGCCCACTTTGTCTCCTAGAATGATGCCATTCCAAAAAACTTACTAGGAACAATTCCTTATTTAAGCCTTAGCCCTGATTATTACTCATCAATTAGGTCGGTTGTTCTTGCTCTTTTTGAATTTGAGCATTATATCAACTCATTTTGATCTATTGTTTAGGAGCTTTGGCTATAAACTAAGATGTTTTAAATTTGAGTCTTATGTATATGATGTGTTTGTAAGTTTATCTAATTGGCCTAAATGTCTCACCAAAAAAATTATATGTGGCTCTTCACCTCATGCATTGAGGTGAATTTGGGCCAAACTATAAAAAAAATATAATACCTTGATTTTGATTTATGTGTTTACTTTTATTATTTCCGTATTATATTTGTAGTGTAGTGTAAATTTAATTTATCGTATTAAATTCATTTGCTTTATTGGCGCTCTTTAAAGGTGTTTTGGGCATTTTCATAACATCAATTTATATTCTTCATATTTGCTTTCTTTTTCTATTTGATTTGAGAAATTTTAGGTTTCTCCAACATACGTATATTGGTTCATACGTCAACAAAAATCATCTTGATCTGGCATAAATCTCAATTAAAAATTGGATTAGAAACTTCTGAAATTAAATTTGGGACCATCCAAACTCCGATTTGAGCAAGCTTATAGTCAAATGGAACATCTCGAGAAGATGAACTCAAAGACACCAAATTGAGTGCAATTAGAGCCTAAATCAAAGAACCAAAATACTCTTGGAAGATTCAAAATATTAATTGGATGACCAAACAATGTCCATATATGACACTCTTCTAGTTGAATCTAGCGACTTGATGAAACGAATCCAACGAGCCCAAGGTCATCAAATACTGACATAATTAAGACACTTAAAAGCTCGATAAATATTCTATGATCAAGGGAATCACTATGAGCCATCTGATAGAACACTTCAAATCTACTATGGATCTTCTCAATATTTATTGAGGATCTCAATCCAAAAAAAAATATAGATAGACCCCATTCTTTACATTGAAGGGATGATGAAGAAGAGAAGAGCTCTAGCACTTGAAGAATCCTGGAGCTCCACCCCGACACAACCATCGATGAATCTACACCACTAGACCTCCGTTGTTGAATCTCCTCGAGACCACTGTCGTTAGTCTTTCATGTAGTAGCCATTGACAAGCCTTCCTCTAATCATAGTCACCAACATTGGTCCTTCTGATCTTCGTCACTTGTCAACTATGATCTCTCTAACCATCGTTGCTTGATTATGGTTCTTTCCACCTCTGTCGCCCGTCGACTATGGTTTCTCCAACCAGTGTCGCTCTACCACAATTCTTCCAACGTTCGTCGCCCACTGACTATGGTCTCTCCGACCATTATCTCCCGACTACGGTTCTTCCAACCTATGTTGCCCTTCGGCTACGATCCCTTCAACCACTATTGCCTTACTACAGTCCTTCCAACCACCATCGTCAGACTACGATCTTTTCAACCTCCATCTCTCGCCGATTATGATCCATCTGACCACCGTCACCTGACTATAGTCCTTCTGACCACCGTCACCCGACTATGGTCATTCCAACCTCTGTCGCTCATCATTGTCTCTCTAAGCATTATCGCCCAACTACGATCCTTCTAACCTTGGTCACTTGCCTATTATGATCCTTCTGACTAACCAAATAAGCAAGACAATACTCTCTTGAGAACAACTATCATATCATTCTCCAATTGTGTAATGAGCTATATATAATGTATATTTGTTATATTGATCCATCTGACCACCGTCACCTTTACTAGAACCTCAAAAGGCTATTCATATCAATGTCATGGGCATGGTTGAAGCAAGATAGTCCCTTGGACATGATTTATTATCAAGTTTTAAAGAAGTGTTTTAGGGCAACCTTAGGCATTTTTTTATCACTTTTCAAGCATCAACCACAGCTGCATCAATTTTGTGGGAAGCATATTTAGACTAAGAGGTAACCTTTGGTGCAACCCCAACTGCGGGGGAGGAACTGTGTAGTGCTGAGCGCACTCCCCCCACCGCACGCCCCACCCTTGAAATTTATTTTTTGCCCCCAGCCGACCTTTTTGTTTCAGCCAATTTGCCCCTCCAAAAATTGGAAAACCTTTTGGTCACCCGCTATTTTCATCCAATAATGTTGAACTTTTCTAACACTAACTAACAAGTCTGTGAAAAGCGATTATATGCAAAATATATTATTTTTGTATCATTACATATATATTTTATTTTTTTTATAAATTTGCTACTTAAGTGTGACTGTGGACAAAAAAATTCTCTAATATTTTTAATATCCAAAACAATATCTTTGAAAACCATAAAGCTCCTAGAAAATTCAATGATGCTTTTATTAAATTTCAAGCTCTATATTGTCCACAACTAGACTTTTACTTCATCGGCAAAGTCTTAGTCTTGACCTTGAAAAGACTGCAACTGTTTAAAGACATACCGATCTTCACCTTCGATTTGAGATACACGTGATGTTTTCCATCTCCTAATAAAAGGTATAATTAATCCTAAGGGGATTCGATTTGACATCTTTCATAGTGGTTAATATCATTGAGCAATGCTCTAATAAACAACCTTATATAGGTAAACATCATTAGTGGATTTCCTCGACTTATCCATACATGTTAATGCTATTGAGCAACATTCAAACAAATAACATTAGATAGGCCAAACATTCCTGGTGGATTCCATCAATCTCTTCCACGTAGCACTCCAACGCATCTCTCTTAACTCTTTTAAGGAAAGATCAGATCCTCATTAGGCTTCCATTGGTACCATGAGTGTGCCACTAAACTATTGCAATTGACACAAAGTTCGATCCCCTCCATCAAAATATCCAATATTTGCCCCCATCATCTCAACCGTCACGTTAGCTTGTCGTCCTATTATTAACATCAAAATGTCACCTAACTAGCCCCGTTAAGCTTTCATCGTTTAACTATCACCATAGGCATATTGCCCAAATCTTTGCATCAAAGGACCAACTTATGATATGTGTATCTCTTCCTAAGCATCAACCATCTTTGGACTTCCTCCCCTCCATTGATTATCATCAGGTTTCCTCTTAAGTGTTGTCGTCATCGGTTCTCTTCTTGATCACCAATCATTGTTGAACTTCCTCTTATCTACTAATTATCACCAGATCTCCTCCAGGGCATTGCTAATGTTAGATCTCCTTTTAAGTATTGCCATCGCCAGGTCATTTTTCAAATTTTGGGTAAAGCTTGGAAAGGCACAAGAGAACTAGGCTTTGATTGTCACTGATGTTCTTTGAGCTACCAATCTATTGGATCGGTATAAGAGAACAATGCTTTGATCGTCAATAATCACTACGGGAAAACACGTGATTACCGTCGGAATTTCCGGCGGATTTTTTTGCGCCGGCATTGTCGGCGCAGGTTCCGGCGGAATGATGCGACATAACGTTTACGGCGTCATTTCCGGCGGATCGGACGCCGGAAATTTACCGGCGTCAATTGCGCCGGAAATACCGCCGGTGAAAAGGGCTCTGGATTATTTCCGGCGCAGATTACGGCGGAAACGTTCTTCTAAACTCAACGAAACCGTTCCGGCGGATTATGCGCCGGCTTATTTAAGTAAGTAACTGAGAACAAAGAATGAATAAATAGGGTGATAAAGGACACCCTTGTCTAAAGCCACTTTTCCCTTTGATACCATCCAACCCAACTCCATTAATATGAACTACAAAAATAGGATCAGTAATACACTCCATAACAAGTTTGGAGTAGCCTATTGGAAAACCAAAGTAGTTCTGGACTTGCTTAAGAGTATTCCATGCCATACTATCATAAGACAGTTCCATATCCAATTTGATTGCCATCAAACCTCTTTTGGAATTAGAAAATCTGAATTTATGGAAAAGTTCTTGTGCCATGAGAACATGCTCAGATAAAGACCTACCTTTGATGAAAGCCACTTGCTCCTCAGATACAAGGTTGTGAATAACATACATCATTCTATTTAATAACACTTTCTCCACTACTTTATAAATAGACATGCAAAGGCTGATAGATCTAAAGTTAGAAGGATATAAAGAATTGCTTACTTTTGGGATAAGCACCACCATTATTTCTTTCCACTTGGGAGACATAGAACTCGAGCTAAAGAATAATTGAATAGCTTTCCGAACATCCATCCCAATGATCTTCCAGTAAGCTTTAAGAAAGGAATAGGTGATTCCATCCATCCCGGGAGAAATGTTATTGCCAAGTTTTTTTTTATTGGGAGTATAATAGCTATAGATGTTTTAAGTAGGATGAAGATGAGGTGAGGAAGTTGACTATAGACTAGATTTAAGCTTCGTTTGAGATGACTTTCCTCAAATTCGATGT